AACTTTTTAGGACCTGCAGATGCAGCACTCACACTCTGTCTCCAAACAGATCATGAAAAAGAAAGGGTATAAGAAAATGGAAAGGGCTGGGTGTTTGAGTGTAGCAAGTTTGTCTATGCTACTGGGACGCCCCTGCCTTCAAGGTTCTGAATATTTTTTCAGCCTGTTGTTCTAGGGACCTGGATACAGTCTCTCCTTGTCGTTAGGGGATATGTTCCAACACCAAGTGGATGCCTGAAAGTGCAGATAGTACTGAGCCCTATAAATACCACACTATATTTTCTTGATCTGACAACCTTCCTGGCTGCTAAGTGACTCATGGCTGGGTAGCATCTACAGCAAGGAGATGCTGGACAAAGGAGGAGTCACATCCCTGGCAGGATGGTGTGAGATTTCATCACATTACTCAGAACAGAGCACGATTTAAACCTTGTGAATTTTTCATTTCTGGAATTTTCCATTTAATGTTTTTGAATTGAAGCTGACCACGGGTAACCGCAACTTTGGAAAGCAGATAAGGGAGGACTGCAGTAATTGAGATCTTTTGTTCTTCCTTCTCCTGATTGTCTCATAAGTTGTCCTGATATCATCGTTGCTTTGGCCAGGTGTCCCTGACCTCCCAGATAAAGAGTCCCTGGGTACAGGCGGGGCAGAGCAGTGTGTAATTCCAGCACCTTTGGGCTCAGGTCCTTGCTAACACCCAGCTGGGATGGAGCTGGGGTGTGGCACAGGGTTGGCACGGACTGCACATTTTCCTTCCCGCAGGGCTTGGCTGTCCCCAGCCTGGATGGCTGCCCTCCCTGGGAGCCTGCGAGCCTGGCCTCTGCCTCCAAGGAGTCTGGGCTGAGGCTCTATCCATTTCTGCACAGCTCCCTTTCATCTGATTCCTCACCTGTGGACACTAAGAGCGCCTGTGGGATGCTGGGCAGAGTCCTGCAGGGTGATGCAGGTGGGCTCGGGGAAACTTCTGCCCTGGATCACTGAGTTTCTACAGACAGGGAGTGTCTCTGGGCCTCCCTCCATCCGCTGGTCTGAAGCGGGGCAGGTGAAACAGGCTGGTCAGCAGCATCTCTCCTGGGGTGCCACTCCGGGCCCCCGTGTGCTGGGATTGGCTCAATCAAGGACCCAGCCTGGATCTTGAAGCCCAGGGTTTATTCCGGCTGTATCTGTAGCCCCTTTCAATGGCAAGGATGAGCTAGTTTGGTGGCATGTGGCTCTGTGTCCAAACTCGTGAAAGAATCGCCTTGGCCTTGAATTTTCAGAGAGGGGAGGACGGGCTCTCTTTGGCATGGCTGGGTGGGAAGGGCCGGACCGAGGGGCTGAGCAAGGTGCAGAGGCGGGTGCTGAGAAGGCTCCTGCATCCTGCCCTCTGCAGCTTTCTCATTGGGTGGATTTGTACGTCCCTTTGCAGGGCAGAAGAGCCTGAAGGGATGAGCCAGGAGGTGGCTGTCTGACCTAGTTCAGGCTATGGTAACGGAATACCATAAATGGATGGCTTAAACAGTAGACATTTATTCCTAAGTCTGAGATCAGGGTGGCAGCGTGGTTGGGCGCTGGCAAGGGCTGTCCTCCTGGCTTGCTGACAGCTGCCTTCTCTCTGTATGCTCACAGTGTGGGGAGAGGGAGGGAGGGCATCTCTCTCATGTCTCTTCTTGTAAGGGCACTCGTCCCATTGATGACAGCTCCACCCTCATGACCTACTCACCTCTTGAAGGCCCTGCCTTCTAATACCTTTGCATTGGGGTTTAGGGCTGCAACGTATGAATTTGGGGGGGGGACACCAATATAGCCTCACTCCTGCTGCTCATGGTGCCATGTGCATGCTGGCAAGTCTGGGCATGGACATGACAGGGGATGAAATTAGGGGTCCCACCCCCCAACCTCTTTTCTGGGGATAAGCTTGCCTGGACAGAGAGCCTCCCAATGTACATGTGATGCCCTCATCAGATCCATTGTCTCTTCCTTCATCAGGAATGCCCTGAGCTTCCCCTGGGTGCTGTCCTATATAGTAGGTGAGAGGCAGAGGTGAGTCAGACGTGGTGCACACCCTCTAGCGGCTCTTCCAGATAGGGGAGCCCAGCAGGTGAACTGGTTTGGGGAGCCCAACAAGGTAAATGTGTGCAAGGTTTAGCCTTGACATCTTGATATTTTTCAGATGGGCCACGTTCCTTCCCAACTCAAGGCCTTGCCACATGCTGTTCCCTCTGCCCAAGTCCTGCATCTGACCAGCTCCTACTTACCCTTCAGGTGTACACGGAAGTCTTCCTTGCGGCTTTTCCCCTCATTATGCCAATTGCTCTTGTGTGACAGTCTCGTACTTGTGTGACAGTCTCATACTTCTTTTCCTTTCCTGCCTGCAGGGCAAGGACTGTGTCTGTCTTGTTCCTTGTTGTACCCCAGTGCCCGGCACATGGCAAGTGCTCATCAAATGCTTATCAAATGAATAAGAAAGCTGTTGCAAAGACGAGGCACTGGTTACCTTTATCAGAAGGCAATCTGGGAAGGCTTTCTGGAGGAGGTGATGACTCAGCCAGGTTTTAAAGGAAGACTAGAAGTTTGCAGGGCATTCTAGGCAGTGGAAACAGCATGGGCAAAAGTTCAGAGGGGTGACGTCTTATAGAAGTTCAATTGTTGTTGGAATGCAGAGTGAGGGAGGCATGGGGTGAGGTGAAGGTGCAGCAAAGGCAGGACCTGCTCACAGAAGGCCTGGTGGGCTAAGGGATGTGGTAAGGAGGGGCATAACATGACCTGGGGTTTGGAAAGACCATTCTGGTGGCTGTGTAAGGCATGTTGAGGGCTCCCAGGCTGGAGCCAGGAGGCCACTAAGAGGCTGTTGCGATGCACCGGGAGGGAACCCATGCAGAGCCATTAGGACGGGGGGGGGGGGATGGATGTGTCGGAGATTTCAGGTTGGAGTCTCAGGGCTTGATGCCTAATTTGATGGGGCAGAAGGAGCAGTCAGTAGTGGAAGGTGATTCTACTCACCCATCCACAGACCCAAGAAAGAGGAAGAACAGCTTTGAGGAAATTGGGAAGGGAAGGGCGAGATCAGTTCTGTTTTAGACATGTTGAGTTTGAAGTTCCCTCGGGACGTCATGTCAGAGGCAGACAGTTTATATTCGGGACTAAACCTTAAGAGAGTGGTGAAAGTGGGAGACACAGATTTGGACTTGTGGACACACATACAGTTATGTGCTACACAACGACATTTCAATCAATGACAGACTGCGTATATGATGGTGGTCCTATAAAATTGTAGTACCGTGTTTTTACTGTATATTTTCTGTGTTTAGATATGTTTATACACACAAATACTTACCATTGTGTTACAGCTGCCTACAGTATTCAGTACAGTAACACGCTGTGCAGGTTTGTGGGCCTAGGACCAATAGGCCCCGCTATCTAGCCTAGGTGTGCAGTAGGCTGTGCCATCCAGGCTTGTGTAAGTGCATTCTAGGATGTTCACACACGTATCCCCATCCCTGTCATTCACTGACGTATGACTGTACATGGAAATTAAAATCAAAGGTGTGAATAAGATCGCCAGGGAGAGGGTATGGATAGTAAAACCAGAAAATGTCTGGGCATAAAACCTCAGGGAAATAAAAATTCAAGATGCCTTCAGAGAAAGATGACACAAGAAAGAGTGGTCAGAATAGAGAAGAACCAGGAAGAAGAGTGGTCACAGAGAGTGCCACAGGGGCTCTGGGTTGGCTCCCCAACACCTGTCCCTCGTCCCTCCTTCCCAACAGGTGTCTGTCCTCCTTGACATAAAAATATGGATGTTCCTACCTCGGAGAGTGAATCTTTATCATGGAGGCTAAGGTGGCAATCCTGTTCTCCTGGCCAGTTGCTGGCTCAGAAAGGGACATGGGGATCCCTTAGGATCAATGAAGCCTGAGAGGAAGAGTCCTCCCACAGGGCTTCTGGGAAAGCTTTCCTTGTTCTTAAGACAGAGACAAGCACGAGATGGTTCTATTTTACCTCTGGACTTCACTGAGACTGCATGTGACATCTGGAACAGTGGCAGCTATCTTATAACCATAAGGAAAATCAACTGAGGGATCACGTCAACACACCAAAGCTGGCAGAGAGGAGACATGGGAAGAACTGGGGCCTTTGGTGACATTGCTGATCCACTGTAGCCACCATCCCCAGAGTCCATTCTCCCAGTGGGATAAAATGATGATGTGATAAAATGAATTGCTATTTTTGTTTAAGACAGTTTGGGTCGATTTTTCTGTTACTTTCTAATAGAGTAACCAATGGAAGAAAATATTTCAACAGAATTACACTCCTCAGAAATTTAGTTATGAAAAAAAAGTATCGAACACTGTCCATTGGATTTGGCAAGATGGTGGTCACGGGGCAAATTCAGTAGCGAGATGGGTTAGGAGGTGACGGAAGAGACTGCAGGGGGAATGGGAGGTGATGAAGTAAAGACAGCAGGTGTGGACAACACTAAGAAGCGTGGATGGAGAAAGCATGATGGAAAAACACCAATCCGAAGGCCTGGATTTTTAGTCATTTAAGGCTAGGCTGTGCTGTGCAACAAACCTGCCCCCAAATCTCAGAACTCAATGTGCATGCGCTGTGTTTTGTGTTGACCTGTGCAAAGTTCTCTGTGGATCAGATGGCTCCCTTCCAGCTCTGACTCAAGGATCCGGGCTGTTTCCACATGGTGGAGCTGCCATCTCAGCATGTGACCCCCATAGTCACTGGGACAGGGGAGAAGAGAGCTGACGGGACTCTCAGGGGCTTTTCTCGGCCCCACTACAGAGAAAGATTTGACACACACACAAAAGAAGGCAACGTGGCCTCGGAGGCAGAGACTGGAGTGTTATGGTGACAAGCCAAGGAGTGTGAGAAACCACCCGACGTTGGAAAGGCAAGGAATGGATTCGCCCACAGAGCTCTGGAGGAAGAGCAGCCTCTGACACCTTGATTTCCGCCCAGCATTTCCTCTGACCTCTCTGATCTGAGCAGAAAGAAGGGTCCCCATGGCCCCTGTGTCTGCGGCAGACCTGGTAGGAAGAGGCCGAGCTGCGCTGGGGTGGGACTAAAACAGGATGTTTTAGAATGATGGTCTATAGAAGCCCAAGAGTCAGAAGTTGCAAATCATCGATCCAGGAATCTTCATTATGCACCCGCTGTGTGTCACGCCTGCTGGGAATACAGACGTAATGAGATGTGGAATTGGGTTTGGTCCTCAAAGACCAAGGGCAGAGAGAGCCTTCCCCAGAGGGGGCTGGCAGCTCTGAAAGACCCTCGCTGAGGGCGGGGGCGCTTCTGTCCAGACGCTGAGCTGGGACCGGAGCTCCTGGGGCACGGGAACTCCCCAGCCTGTTCCACGGCCCTGCTAAGGGGCACTGGGCCTGAAAGCAGACGTGAAGAGGGCACCAGGCCCAAGGACAGGCGTTGGCTCAAGTTTCTCCTGGAGTCAACACAAGGGCAGTGGAGGAACCTGGCCTGCAGTCCTGCCTGACCTGGAAGGAAGTTCACGGGGTGACGCGTGGAACTGCCAAGCTCCAGGGGGCCTGGGAGGCCTGCAGCCCAGGGTGGGGGCAGGGCTGGGAAGAGCAGGCCAGAGAGCTGCTGGCCATCGGAGCTCACCGCTGGCCCTCTCGAGGGACGGCGCTCTTTCTGCCCATGTGGGAGCTGTGGTTTGCAGGCATCACTGTGTGTGCCAGGCTCTGGAAGCGGGTAGATGTCCCTGAAGGACAGAGGAGCCTCCAGGCCTCTCCACCAGCAGTGGGCATGTTGGGTGAGTATAACCTTGGGCCTGAGGGTTTCTGGACTTGGGTTTGGATGGGACTCTCCAGCCTGGGGACAGGAATGGTGTGTGACCTCTTCCCAGAGGCCTCCACGGCACACCCCGCCAGGGAAGCCCCCCTGCCCAACACGGCGAGTCAGCGGACAGGGGCCGCAAGGGCATCTTTTCCTCAGCTTTATGGAAGAAACAGCTCAGGGACGAGGGAGGGGTCCTACAATGAAGAGAAAGAAATGGGAAGTTAGCCAGGACTAGAGGCTGGGGATGCTGGTCAGCTACCGGAACATTCCAGCACTTTCCTGAAAGGGAGCTTTCTCCGGGAGAAAAGCTACTGTTCTGTCCTATTTTTTCTTTCTTTCTTTCTTTTTTTTTTTTTACAGGGGCTGTGGTGGAGACAGTGACAGCTTCTGTGGTGCTGTGTGGCTCTCTGTCTTCTCTTCTGTGTTTCTCTTTCTTCCTTTTTCCTCTCTCCTTCCTCTTCCCCTTTCTTTCTCTTCCCTTTTTTCTCTTTTCTTCTTCCATCCTTTCTTTCCTCTCTTATGTTTCCTTGACTTTGGGTCTCTCTTTCAGTCCACCATTTATGTCTGTCTGTCTGTCTGTTTGTCTCTCTCTCTCTCTCTGTCACACACACACACACACACACACACAGCCTGGCTTTATTCCTGTCACCTCAGCTAAAGGGCCAGGACGTCACGGGAAGCACCTGTGCTCCGGCCCCGCCCGAGCACACTTTTTCTATGTTCTCATTTACACTTCCTCATTTGTCCCTTCCTTTATAAATACTTGCTCACAACGGTCGTCTGTGATTTTCTGGTCTCCTCACATATCTTCATCTGTTTTTATAAGCAAACACCCAAACCTCTTCCCAGCACCCTCCCCCGCTCCCCACCCTCACCCCATGCCCTAGGCCTGGGCCCAGCCTGGCAGAGGCTCAGCTCCTTGGTGCGGTGGGGTGGGGTGGGGGTGGGGTGGGGGTGGGGTGGGGTGGGGGTGGGGTGGAGGTGGGGCCGGGGAGGGCGGGCAGAGCCTGCTGGGGGATGGGCGGCAGTGCCCACAGAGGTCAGTCTCCTGAAACACAGCGGGGAAGGGGTTACAGGCCTCTCCGCTCTTAGCCTCTTGGGGCTGCTCCCTCCCGAAGCCCAGGACCCCAGGACCGGAGAAGAGCTCCCAGGTGAGGGCTGCAGAGTTCTCTGTTAGCATGCCCTTTGGAGCCAGAGTACCTGAGGGAGGGGCTGAGTCCCGTCTCTCTGACCTGTGACCTCTAGCAAATCATACAATCCCTGTGAGTCTCAGGTTATTCTTTTTAAACCTGAGACTTGGTATTGGAAAATGGGTATTTTGTTAGCTTTACCTATTGCACAAAGCATTCTGTGGAGCGAGCTGCCTCCAAGGGTGAGTAAAACAGGGATAAGGATGATACTGATGGCGGCAACTGACGTGTACTATTTGCTAGGCATTCTAGGTGCCTTCATATATAAACTCACTTAATCCTATAACCACCTTATAAGTAGGCACTATTATCATTTCTGTTTTACAGGAGAGGAAATGGAGGTTCAGAGAGGTTAAGTTACTTATCCAAGGTTGCACAGCTGGTAAACTGGGTAACAAATCTAATAGTCTGGCCCCAGACCCTACCACCTTTATGATTGAATAGTTTCCTGATGGCCGGTGAAATACTCTCTTCTCACACTTTCCTGGGATGTCCTGGGAGAGCAATGTTGGTGCCCCTGTCCTGGGTAGCTCTGAAAAACCACAGTTCTGGCTCTATGGACACATGCCCGAGGGTGGTGATCCAGTGTGCAGAGTGACTGCCCAAAAGCTGAAGGCATGTAGCTATCTCCACCTGGGTCCCCTGCGGGATTTGGGGTCACTGGGAGGAAGGGGAGCTCTGCTCCAGGGCTTCAGTAACCGTCTGTGTTTTTCACTGAGATCTCTTCAGGCTTCGTTACCAGCATGCATTTATTTTTGGAGGATTACTATTCCTAGTTCAGCACACCAGACTCTTCTTTGTCAGCCACTTTCTTTCTGGCTTCTGGGTAAGTAGTTGTGTGTTGTCTCTGCTGCTGCTATCTTTGTTTCCCTTCTAAAAAGAGCATGTGAGTAGGAGGTACTGTTTATTCCCTCATTTCTGTGCTCATTACTCTGGGGATATCAAAGATGAAACTGGTGCAGCCTCTGCCCTCAAGAATCTTGTAGTCCACTAGGGACACTCTAACATGTGCAGAGGTCACTATAGTGTCACCTGGAGTGCAGTGGGGGCATTATCACAAAAGCACCCTCTCCAGGACTTGAGACAGGGCTCTCAGGGATGCCTCACAGAGGAGACGATGTATAATTAAATAAGTTAAGGTGCAGAGATCCCCAAATACAGTGATGTTTATATAAGTCAATTGTAAGATAGAATTTTATAGCTCTCTCCTGTGACAGTGTAGGCTGGTGGGACAGCCCAGTTCCACAAGGCCATTCAGGGACTCAGTTCTGCTCTATCTTGTCACTTTGCTCTACAATTTTGTAGGGTGGTGTCCTCGTCCATATGGCTATTGCTTGGTCATTGCCACATTGGTGTTCCAGCTTGTGGGTGAAGAGAGGAACACACAACAGCTGCTTTAAGGTTCAGACCCAGAAGTGGCTTCCATATCCTGTCGGCCAGACTTGGTCATTTGGCCTCTCTTGGTTACAAAGGAGGTCAAGAAATGTAGTCTACAGCTAATTGTCCAGCCAGCAGTGTAATGTGGAAGAGATGACAGGGGTTATTATCTCCATTACTCTATCACAATGAGTTGGACCTTGGCATAGGACAGAGTATTGCTAGGTAGAAATTAGAGTACAAGTGTATTCCAGGTGCATTCCAGAAAATGGCCGAGGTGAGGAAGGTGCAAAATGTATTTGGAGAAAACAAACATCCAGCATAACTGAGTGCAGGGTTTTTGTAGAGGAGGTTGGGCCTACCTATGGGTAGAGATGGGGCAGGTCTCATCTCTGTGACAGGCTGCTTAGTCTTCCCATAGAATGTGACCCTTGCTACCTATACACCTGTTATCTAGACACTCGAATCTTCTTTAATCAGCCACACAGGATGTGGGCACTCTCAGCCCTACTCAGGAAATTTAACCTTGAACCAATAGCTATCCAGATCCTATCAAAATCTTGGCTTCCCAAGGGTGTGCTATTTGACTACTCTTTTCAACCGTGGTTCTTGTTTTCATGCTGATTTCCAGAAAGTTCTATAAAGGATTACATTAGCCTGTAAAGGATTACAGGCTCCTGGGAAAAGATCTTCACCGTGTTGGGTTTCATGTTAAGCTCCTGGAAGAGATGGCTACATAAAGGACACTGTAGTATACTCCAGTAAAACGTTAATATGGATGTCGCCCACAATTTTCTCATTGTATGACATGGTATTTTTCTTTGTATAAGAATCTACCAGATGTATCTTGTAATATCCTGTTGCTCTGTCCTTGGCATTCAACACTTCAACCAACATGTGTCAAGGTGCAGACTGTAGACAGGAACTAGGCCAGGTGCTGGGGATATGGAGAGAAGAGACAAAGTCCCAAACTTCCAAGAGCTCACAGTCTGGGGCAGGGGATAGGGGTGTGTGGCATATGGGGTGCACGGATAAGTAATAGGCATTTGTGTCATAGTTTGATAAGTGTTGTCTGGGGCTCAGGACAAGATGCCATGGGAGCTGGTGGGGGAAGGTGGGGAAGGCCTTCTGAAGGAGCTGGGTCTTGGAGGTCGCATAAGGGTCAGTAATGTGAGGAATGGATAAAAGAATGTTTCTGGCAAAGGGAACAGCTTAGCAAAGTCATGTGGAAATGAGAGAGGGTGGGGGGCTGTGGTTTAGGGGGAGGATGTGAGATTTAGCTTGGAGGGCTGGGCTGGGCTAGGCTCTTAAAATGGGTCTTGTCCCCTGCTAAGGAATCTGGGCTTCTGTCCGCAGGCTCTGTGCAGTCCTGGCAGGTGATGAGATCCCTGTCTTGGAGATGCCAGTCTTGTCAACACAAATTGGGCAGGGAAGGGACTAAGAAGGGGAGCTGTTGCAATATTTCAGCTCAGAAATTATGTGGCATTAAACGTGTGAAGACTAAGTAGGTATAAGGAGGAATCTTAAAGAAGAAGAATCAGTAGCACTTGGGGACCGCCTTGGGGATAAGGGCGAGCGAGAATTTGGCGGGACTGCGAGCAGGCGGTGTCGCTCCCACAGACCAAGCTCATGGGAGGAGCAGGTGAGGAGTGGGGATGCGGTGTGTGTGCCTGGCTGCATTGACATGTGGGCCAGGCGGTCAGATATGCAGGAGGAAGGTAAAGATTTTGGAGTCTCCCATGTGCAGGTGCAAGGTAAAGATAAAAGGTGTGTGTCCAAACTCAGTGAACACTGAGCGACGTACCTGCTGTGTTGTCAGATGCTTTTGTGCAACACAAAGCTTATGAGTGCCTACTGTGCGCCTGGACCCTTCGCACTCCCTTGTCTAGCCTCTGCATGGCCCGTGAGGAAGAATTGGTTTCGTTGTGGATACCTGGCCTGGCTGGAGAAAGGATTGAAGCCCATATGTGTTATCACCAGTCTGGTTTTACAGTGAGGTTTAGAGAAGTGAAACGAGCAGTTCAAGGTCACACTGTAGAAAAAGTGGCAGAGGGGGATTTGAGGGCAGGTTCTTTGCAGCCTGGTCTATACCACAGCTGCCTTTTATGATGCGGGTGACCTTTAAGCAGGAGATGCTTAGGTTCCGAAGGGTAGGGGTGCACAGGCTGCTCCCAGGGGGTTGTGAGCCTGACCATGGCCTTGGCCCCGTTCATGCACTGGGTACACTCTGGGGCAGGCTCAACACGGTGGTCTGGTGTGGTGTTCATTTTATCCATCTTGTTGAGCAGGAGGCTTTCTGCCTGTCTCCATGTCCCTGGTATCCCAGCTGCTGGCGAGGTGGCCTGCAATGAGCCATACTGACACCAGGGCAGGCCTGGCCCTGTGGGCGGAGAGGCTCAGTGGCATTAGGTGCTGACAGATTTGCATGCGGGAGGCCACCAAGCAGAGGAAGGTACTTAACCGCTGACATTTATTTAGTGCAAGGTTGGTGTAGGGGGTTGAATTGTGTCCCCCCCAAATATGTCCGAGTTCTAACCCCCAGTACCTGTGAATGTGACCCTATTTGGAAAAAAAAAAAGGAGTCTTTGTGTATGCAATTAAGACTGTCAAGATGAGATCATCCTGGTGTCCTTACAAGAGAAAGGAGAGGAAGCTCTGAGGTGCAGGGAAGGCGCCGTGTGTGCTGTGTGAAGCGGCTGCAGAGATTGGGGTGACGCAGCCCCAAATGCAGGAATGCCTGGGGACACCAGAAGCTGGGAGAGGCAAGGAAGCATTCTCCCCGAGAGGCTTTGGAGGGAGTGTGGCCCTGCCGACACCCTGATTTTGGCCCAGTGATACTAATTTCAGACTTCTGGCCTCCAGAACTGTGACACAATAAACTTCTGTTGTTGTAAGCCACCAAGTTTGTGGTCATTTGTTCCTGCGCCCCAGGGGACGTACACAGCAGGGACAGGTGTGGCAGGCAAGGGCCCCCTATACCCAGGGAAGACATCAACGACCATGCACAGCATTCCTCTCCGGGAAGCCGACGCCACCTCCCAGCCTGCCCGCAGAGCCCTCCCGTCACTGCAGTTGGGACGCTCCATGGAACCTGTTGGCCTCTGGGATTCCGTGCCTGCCACTCCCGAACCCTGGACGAGGCGTGGGCAGTTCAGGAAGGGTCAGGCAGGGCCACTGTTCTCAAGGGGCCTGGAGTCCCGGCCTTTGTGTGGGTGTGGGGGCAGGGCATGTCACCTCTGCAGCACTCATGGCTCCTGCCAGTCTTTGAACATCTGCTCCTGCCCACCAGGCTCTGCTCCGCAGCTGCGCCTCCTCCAGCCCCTGGCTATCCAGCTGCGGCCGGCAGGCAGCAGCCTGGGAGCTGCGGTTTCACCCTCAAGGTGAGTAAGTCTCCCACAGAGATTTAGGCAGCGAAAAGCATCCCTTGAGCCAACAGGATGAAGAAAATGCACCGGTGTCTGGAGCTAAAGGGCTATGAAATTTCTGAGGGGGCTGCTTAATTCTTTCTGGAGTTGTGGAGAGAGATAGCACAGGGAAGGGGTGACCTGGGAGCTGGGACTTAAAGGAGAAGTAGAAGTTATCCGGATATGGAGAAAGGACAAGAAATCACCCAGGATGCAGCACCACCCCCATGGAGGGGCTGCTTGTCCTGCTTGCCAGGGTGAATGCCTCACTCAGGCACCTTCCTTTCTCCTCTCTCTCTCTTTTCTTTCTCTCTCTTTCTTGCTTTTCTTTCTCTTTCTCACTCCTTTTTTCCCTTTTCTTTCTTTTTCTTCTTTCTTTTATTTATTTCTTTCTCCCCCTCTTTCTTTTTTTTCAGCATGGTTCTCCAATTGCTTGCATCAGAACCACTGGTTGTACTTATACGAATGCAGATTCCTGGACTGTACCCCGGACATACTGAGTTAGAATCTCTGTGGATAGACCTAGATGTCTGCATTTTTAATAAACTCTATAGATGATTCTGATGGGCCATCAACTAGGAATTATTGACCCAAAGGTCCTTCCAGCCTAGCCCACCATTGCTGGACTGGTATAAAGCAGGTGTGTGTGTTGGGAGGTGCCCCATTTCCTACTCAGGAAACTGGTCTTGGGACATGAGAGCTCTGTGGCCCTCAGAACCACCCTGTCCCCATGGGCCCTTGTGGGCAGGCTGAGAGCACAGCAGTGTAGCACTCAGTGGCTAGCCTGGGATCTGGTGAGAATGGCTTTGCTGCTTATTAGCTAAGTGGCTTTAAGCAGCTATTTTTTTTGAAACAGAGTCTCGCTCTGTTGCCCGGGCTAGAGTGCTGTGGTGTAAGCCTAGCTCACAGCAACCTCAAACTCCTGGGCTCAAGTGATCCCTCTGCCTCAGCCTCCCCAGTAGCTAGGACTACAGGCATGCATCACCATGCTCGGCTAATTTTTTCTATATATTTTTAGTTTTCCAGATAATTTCTTTCTATTTTTAGTAGAGACGGGATCTTGCTCTTGCTCAGGCTGGTCTTGAACTCCTGACCTTGAGCAATCCTCCCACCTTGGCCTCCAGAGTGCTAGGATTACAGGCGTGAGCCTCTGCGCCTGGCCTTTAAGCCGCTATTTGAATTATTTCAGTTTTCTTGTCTGGAAAGCAGGGATACCAATGGACCCAACATGAAGGAAGGGCTGTTGAGAAGACTAAACACTGCCTGTGCATCAAATGCCTCATCTGGTGTATGCACAGTGTTCAATAATGCTGAGCTTTAAAAAAAATTATAATGATGAAGAGAATGGAGTTGTCTTATCCAGAAGAGAGAAAACTTAATTGAAATTATTACAAAGCCCAGTTGCAACTCTCCTGCATATTAGACCCTCCTGAAAAAAGTTGAAAAAACTGCCATCTCTTTCTAGGGGCCCCCTCCCCCATGGTTTGCCCTCTCCCACCCCTCTCCTCCACCTAATAAACCAGGGAAATCTCTGGTGGGGAGGGGTCTCCGTTTATTTATTTTTTTAAATAAAGCTTTTCCTTGATGCGAATCACCTGGAGCACTCGGAGGTGTCTTTCCACCTCTCCTGCAAATTCTGCTGTAGGGATTGGAATGGATTCTTGGCATTTCATTTGTAATCAGGTGCTTCTTAACTTACCAGAAGTTAGGAAAGCTCTGGTTTAACGGAGCTTACCCTTCTGTGGTGGAGTTTCGGCACCACCTGGACTAGCCAGAGACGCCTCCTCACCTGCGCCTAATTCTTGTGAGGACGCTGTCTCCAGCCAGGGGTGTGCGGGACCTGACAGTTGTGTTTAGAGATCGCAAAGCATGAAGTCTGAGTACACGTCCGGGTTTACGTGGGTGTGCGCACACTCACACTTCTGATAACCACCTGAGATGATGGTAGGAAACAGAATTGGCTAAAATTGTAGGAGTTGGGGGAAAAGATAGTGCTCAGAGGAAACTTGTCTGTGATAGTAAGTAAAAAAAAAAGGGGGGGGGGATGAAGAGATCTCTCCATGGACAGATGGAGAGAAGTTGGGACTCAATTCAGACTAAACCCAGCAGTCCCCACTTGTGGCTGTTGCCTTCTGAGGTGGTGCAGCTGCATAGACAGCTGCCACCTGGGCGTTCAGGAGGGCTGACCCCCTCCTATGCATCAAGCCTAGGAAAGTGCTGGAAGCTGCCCTGTTACTCGTGTGGCAGAGGAAGTCTGCTTAGCCAACTCTGATGAGACACGAGCCAGGGAGAGGCCAAGGCTCTTGCCCTGGCCCTTCCCATTTCTTTCTAAGGATGATTCTAGAAACCTCTCTGTGCGCTTGCCAAGCCCTGTGCTGCTGGTGCTTAGCTTTCTGCATGACCTCTGCAACAGGACTCGACACTACCACTTGGGCAGTGTCATGTGCAGTCACATTTCACATTTCGAGGAAGTGTCTCTACCAGGCATGTTGACGTTTGGAGCAGATCAGCGATAGATTAACAGCATTCTTCTAGGACTGGACCAGGAACACCAGATGTAGCAGAAACTTAACATGCCCTTGGGAAATGGTTTATGAAAAATAAAACAACAACAAAACATGTGGCTCTGTGAATATACTAAAGTCCATTTAATCACATCCTTTAGCTAAGTGGATTGTATGGTATGTGAATTATATCTCAATAAAACTGTTACAAAAAGTAATTAAATGCTGAAAAGTAGATGATTTCCTGGAAGGGTAGTTTCTCATTTTCAGATATAATTATCAGGCTGTGTGGGACCTGGTTTTCCTCCCACCTTGTCCTGTTTAGAAACACAGAGTGTGACCATCCATCAGCACTGCAGTACCTGGCTGGTCCCCACCACCACCAGTCACTTGACTTTTGAAGAAGGTGAGATTTGACAAATCCCCGAAGAGCCAAAGAGGGGAACCAGCGCTTCAGCAGCCGGCTCTTCTTGAAGAGCTCTTTCCAGCCAGGCACTGTCTAAGCACGTTCAACCCTCACAAGAGCCCCAGAAGGTGGGACCAGGAGTCCCTGCAGGTCACACGGGAGGAAGCTGCAGCACAGTGTGAGTGGACGACCAACGCCACACAGCCCGAACATGGCCCAGCCAGAGTTCAAGCTCAGGTTCTAACCTCGCATGCACGCTGGAAACATCTGGAGAGCTTTAAAAACCACTGGTCCCTTCTTCCTCTCCCTCCCCCCACCACAAGATTCTGATTTTATTAATTTGGGGTGTGGCCTGAGCACAGGCTTTGGGTTTCGGTTGTGTTCATAGCACACCAGGGGATTCTAATGAGAGTCCGACATTCTATATTAAAGAGGCTATTTCTTGCCGGGTGCCATGCCTGTGACTTGTGTAGTTGTCACTGGCAGCATAGCAAAGTTTCTCCATTTGGGGTTAATGGAGGGAAGAGGAATGCGAGTCTGGGGACAGTGGCTGTGGCCGCAGGATTCCGCAGGGTTTATCAGGCCCTGCCTGGCGCTTGGCCTCTGCTGGCTGCCCTCAGCTGGAAGCCATGATCACAGCCCCACGCCCAGCCCTGCCTTGCCTCGCCCCGAGCCCTCTGCCCAGTTCTCACCCTGGGTTGGGGGAATCAGGGTAGCTATAGCTCAAGAGTGTAAAGTCAACAGCAAGGGTTGCTGGTTGTTTAACCACCTGCTCCTGCACTGAGTTTCTATAACCAGGGTTTGGACTTTGTCCTGGGTTTGCTCTGTGACCCTGGTGAAGGTAACTGCAGGCCCGCCCGGCCCTTCTGGGCTGAGACCTGCACCCTTCTCACGTGGCCCCTGTATCTCACTTAGGAGAGGAAGAAGCTTGCCTTACCTTCAGCCTTTGATGGCCGTAGCTGCCCCTTTATGTTTTACAGTCCTCAATTCCTTTTCCACCTCTATTCCCGCTTGGGCAGTTCTCCCTCGGGCCAGGTGTGCGCTGGCGTCCTCCTGGCGGGCTGCTTCCTACGAAACGTCCCCCTTAGAGACCCACACGCTTGCCCAGGATCTGCTCTTCCAAATAGAGATGTACAATGGAGTCTTCTGAAGTTAATGTGAAAATGAGGTTAGCAAAACAAGATTAAAATACCCAAGAAAAGAAAATGGGAAACTTGAGACTAAGATTACAGCCCATGGAAAGGATGTGGCCATCCCGACCTCGAGAGCTCTCAGCGCCGGGTCACTCTCCTTCTCGCTCCCCAGCGGGCTGGCCGCTGCAGGAGGGGACAGCCTCTCTCCCTTGCCCTGCCGACTCTGGGCTGGCGTCCTGCCTTGCTCCTGCATCAGGAGTCTGCCTAACCTGGCCATTGTAGCAGAAAAATAGCTAAACTCCATTGGAAATGTTGAGTCTGGTGAGACCCTGGGCTCTCATTTTTCACCTCTGTCCTGAAGATGCACCCCTCTTGTGCTCAGCCTACAGTGCTCTGCCTCGCAACTCATGTTCCAGCTACAGCGCTGCACTGTCTGTTGAGTTTATGGGCATGTAGGTGTCATCTTTCTCTAGAAAACGCTCCTCCTTGGAGACCCATGCCATCCTCCTTGACCATTGGTGATGTGGAGAATTAGTTCCTCTGCTGACAGAAAACCCAAAAGAACAGTGTCTCAAACACTTGAGGTTTTATTTCTCAGTTAAAGAAGTCACAGAGGTAGACTATTCAGAACAGGTAAGTTGGTTTCATGAAGTCCACAAGGACCCAAGCTTCTTCCCACTCACTGTTTAAGGTGGGACCTTGTCCTCATGGCTCAAGATGCAGCCGATACTCTAGTCATCGCATCAGAGCTCCAGGTCGGCCACAGAAGGAATAAAACAAGAAGGGTTTCCAGAGTCCCAGAGAGGCAGTCGCGTGCCTCTCTACATGACTGACTGGGCTGGGCAAAGTAATTTTAAAAAACCCGGTCGACGATGGTTCTGGATAAAAATCAAACACCTTATTGCTGAGGAAGAAGGGGCCAATGGACATTGGGTGGCAACTCTCAGTCTCTGCCATGACGCTCTCTGCCGTCCTTACTGCCACCTTCCACCGACACCGTAGGCCTTCCCTCACGAGCTCTGAGGACTCTGGTGCCTGTGTCCCTGGAATCGTACCATCATGCTGGGAGACCTCGGCATCGCGTCACTGACCTCCCAGTGCCCACAACCCTTCCCTCCATCCAGCCCCCTCCTCAGGGCCGCAGCCACCGCCCTCTGCAGGCCCTGGCTAAGCGCGCCCCGACGCTTCCGCCCCCTGCCCCTCCCACTGCACCTGTGCTGGGATCTCATGGGGATCATGTGTCCCCGGCCTCCTCCCCGTGCACCAGGGGACAGAACCCATCCTCCACGTGCTTCTGTGGAGCAGCCACAGCCACTCGCTGCTCCCAGAGCTCCTGCATGGACTTTGTCAGCTCCTTCTCCTAGTTCTCCTCGCAGCGGCTCCAAACCCTAATGCTGTCCGTGAGCCCTCGCTGCCTCCCAGTCACGCTGCTTCCTACGTCTTAGAGATGGCTGCTTCCCGCCCTGCCACCTGCAGCTCCCTGCCCGCCCTTTCTCCACTGCCCTCTTCTGAGGAAGAGCGGTCTCCTTGCTGAGCCGAGACTGAACTGTCTGCAGGTGGTGATGCTTCTCATTTTCCTTCCTCGTCTGCACTGTTCTCCTTTGCGTTTCTCTCCATCTCCTGTATCTCCAACCTCCTCTTCATTGGCTTCTTCCTCCCTGAATATGAATATGAAGATCTCTTCTAAATTTTAAAAGCCGATATCCCACTGTAACTATTGGCCTATATAGATTCTTTCATAGCCAAGTTCATGGAGAAAATTGTCTATACCCTCTTTATTCACTTCTTCACACGATTTGGGCTTCTACCCTTTCCTCTCTGTCTCCAGCTCCCATTATTTCCTGAAAATTGGACTAAGGTTCCCACTTACTTGGGCTTTTCAGGCCCCTGCTTACGGACTCCCCTGGGGTAGGAGACACAGCCAGCCACCCTCTGCCCCTTGGAAATTCTCTGTCTCCTACTTTTCCTGGCATCACTCCTTCTCCAGTCACCCTTCTCTGTCTCCTGTTTCAGCTCCTTTCCTCTGGGTGTCTTGGGAATGTCCAGTCCTCCCAGCATTCCCGGGCTCTTCTCTCCTCAGGTGCTTTGTTCCTCTCCGCAGGGATCTTTCCTATCCAGGATGTCAGTCGCCACCTGCATCCCAGCAGGGCCCCCTGCTTTGACTGAAGCTGAGCTTGTCAGACCTCGTGGTCTGACGTGTGGTGTGTCTGGGGCCCAACCGTTGGACTTGCTCAGGTCTGTGTGTGAGGGAACTAGGAATCTCCCCGGAAAGAACCAGGTCTTCTCCCCTACAATCAGTCAACATATTCAATTCAGTGCTCGTTAGTGAGCACCCTTCTAGAAACTGGGGGTCAGGCAGGGAACAAAACAGACAAAATCCTGGTCTTCATGGAGACAGACATAAGCAAGACAAGTAAGGATTATAACATGTGAGAAGTGCTGAGGAGAACAATAAAGCAGGGTGAAGGGGTAGGAAGTGCGTGTGTGCGTGTGTGTGTGTGTGTGTGTGTGAGTGTGAGGGTGTTGACATTTGAGATAGGGCAATCTCTGAGATGGTGACATTTGAGCAAAGACTGAAGGGGTGGTGTGTGACTATGTGTGGGGAAACTATTCTAGGTTGAGGGACAAGGTTGAGGGACAAAGTTTCTAGGAGGCAGTTACTTTAGACTGAGCTCCTGCACGGGGCCCAGCCAGACCACACCAGAATGGAGCCACCTGTGCTAGCCAGCCATGTCATCAAGCCAAACCTGAAACTAGGACAGTTTTCCAAAAAATGGAAGATTCACAGCAACCAGTGAGAAAGGGCTCCGCCCACCTGAGCTGGCATGATGGGGAAGTCCCCTCTATTTTAACCCTATAAGGAAAGTAACTTTGAAAACTCAACTTGCTTTTTGTTCCCTGTTTCTGCCTCTTCAGCCATTTTCTGCCTATAATGCCCTCCCTTTCTGCTCAGCTCGGCAGAGCTCCTTTTCCAAATCTTTACATGGGATGCGCCCAATTCATGAATTGCTAATACAATCCAATTAGATCTGTAAAGTAAATTTGTTAAAATTTTGTTTTTTAACAGTCTGGAGAGGACATAAAAGATCTTTTGCTGGAGGACTGAAGGAGGCCGAGTGAATCAGGAGTGGCCCAAAGAGAAGTTCAGAGCAACCGAGGTGAAAGTGTATGTGGGGGTGTGGGGGTGTTGGGGTGATGGCCCAGGGCTTTGTAAGGACTTGGGTTTTATTTGGTGGGGGGAAGACTGGAAAGGGTTTTGAGTAGAGGAGTGACACAGTCTAACTGATGTTTTCAAAGGCTCACTCAATTCTCGTTAAGTGAAGTGTCTCAAGAATGGAAAAACAAACACCACATGCACTCACTATTAAATTGGAACTAAATGATGTGACACACGTGCACAGAAGGAAGTAAAACTCAGTAGAAATTAAGCAGCGGAGAGGGGAAAAACTCTACTTAATGGGTACAATGAATGCTATCTGGTGATAGACACACCTATGGCCATGACTCAAGCATTACAAAAGTGATCCATGTAACCAAACACATTTGTACCCCCTTAATATTTTTAAATAATAATAAAAAAGGCTCACTCAGGCTACTGTGTTAAGAATAGACTGGAGGGCAAAAACAGGTAGACATACTGCAATAATCTGGGAAAGAGATAATGGTGGCTGGGTCTGGGCTGGGAATGATGTAGGAGATGAGAAGAGGTTAGAATCTGTTACCTTTCTAATAGGAGTGCCAACAGAATTTTCTAACAGTGGACCCAGAGATGATGCTGTTCAAGACCAAATAATCCAGATTCTGTGGATCATTGTCTACCTGGGCTATGCCTTCAGATTTCACAGTATGGGTGGGGTTAGAGTTTTTTTCCCTGGAGAAAATTGATGTGTCCAGTGTTGCTCATTGTGGAAAGATGCTAATTCTGGGGAAGGAAGAGAGGTAGGCTTGAAGCAGGGCCAGGGTGTCAGTGGGGCTTGGTAGAGAGATGCTGGGGACATTCCTGGTCATGTGTTGTTATTGTTGGTGTTGTTGTTGTTGTTGTTGTTGCTGGTGTTGTTGTTGTTGTTGTTGGTGGTGGTGGTGGTGTGGGCATCGGGGTAGAGCTGAGTGAGTTAGCTCTGACCTGGAGGCAGACCAGAACCTAGACGGGGCTTGGCTGGTGAGGGACTAGGGTGGTGCTGGTCCTGCTGGTTTTCAGAGAAGCTACTTCTAATCATGGTCACATTTCATCTGCTTGTTGTGCACTTGTTCCTTTTCAATGCAGACAGCAATGCCCGTGACAGTGGCCACTGGTCCCAGTGGGTCAGGGCAACACCGGTGGCTCCTGCAATGAACCAGGACCCAGGCATGGCTCTGAGTCTTGGGTGGTCCGAGATCTCACCGCAGTGAGCAGGAGCAGAAAGGGGGGAGCCATAGGTACCACATAGCAGCAGAAGTCTGCACCCCCTTCTACCTCACATACACATACACCAAGTTTCCCCAGGGCTCCTGGGAATGTGTCAAGAGGGGCTGGCATTCCCCGAGAGTGGGAGGACGCAGAGGCAGAGAAAGACTGTCCTAGGTGACTCATTGTCATGCTATTTTTGACTCCAGACTCCTGTTTCCTGGGAAATGTTTCTTCTTATAGGCGGCTGACTCCCGATCTCTCTCCAGACTAGCTTTCTCCCCTGATAGCCATACCTGCTGGGCGTCTTGGCTTAGCTATCCCAGACTTCAAACCCAAAGTGATTCTTCTCCTCTGCAAACCTTCTCTCCATCCTGTTTGCAGTCTCTGTAGTGACACCACTAGCCAGCCAATGGCCCAGTTGGAACCCTGGCTCAAACTTGACTCCTCCCGCACATGCCCTGTGTGCCAGCTCTGGACCATCTCCTGGCTCCCTGTCCTGCTTTCCACCCTTGCTGTCCTGGCCAGGGTTCTGGGGTGACTCCTTGCAGGGGAACCTCCTTATAGGTGCTTTGCTTCCATCATGTCCTCCCCTCCCCTCCTCACCACCCCGCCCCAGCCCAGGGTGCTGTC